ACATTATGGGTTGATTTTTCTGCGTACAGAAACAGTTAACTGCATTTTCATACAACGCAACACTTAGTAATCACATAAAACTTGACCTACAATAATCTTTAACAGGTAGAAAAGCTTCTGTATTATGCCACTGTGTAGGCAAGTATTTTAGTGACATGTCCACAAAAGAACCAAGGTAAAATTGCTATGGAACACAAACTTTGTCTTTCCTTACACTCATTTCAAGTTTTCCACTTTATCCCACAGGAGCTACTAGCCAATACAGATTTGTCTATGTGTGCTGAGCTTACACTACAGCCATTACTAACTGTCACGTCCCCAAAGTCCCCTTGTTTTCCCAGAAAGAAATATTAACGTTTACTCTATACTGCTGCCTTCTCTGCCAAGTGAAGCAAAGAACCTGTCATTTCAATCCACTGACAGCCCACTGTCATGATTTTCACCTTTTACACATCAAGTCTAAAACCACAATGAATTTAAGTAAAAGTTAAAAAAAAAAAAAACAAAAAAAAAACAACAAAAACAAACAAAAAACCCATGTAGCATTACCAACTGCTAAATTATGCATTATCTTCGTATATATGTCCGAACCTCTCAGCTGTGCAAACTGGGTTACAGACATAAAGAACTCCATCGTGTTGGGAGGGAGGGGGAATGATGGTGTGCCAGACCAGATGGCAGGCTTCAAACTTATCTGCAACCCCTCCACTGAGTATATGCAGGACAGTAACAATGACTGTCCATGAATGGACCCTTTCAGCAATCAGACATAACTAGCTACATCAGCATGATCAACACAGTTCTCTTTTCTCTCCCCAATACTTTCTTCTCCTATTGCTCTAGCACAGCTCACTGAAAATAGAGACAATTCCTTAGTGGGAGAGGGACTGAAGGAGGAAAAAGATAATACGAGGAGGTGGAAGGGACAAGTTAGTCATATAGTCATCACTTCCCCTACCTTTAATTCATGCTATTACATCACTCATTCGGTCTATATTCAAGTACAGTATCCCACACACAGAAACCAAGATTTAAAGTGTATGCCACTCATTACACAACTAAAAGCACAGAAGACAAAACATAACCTACCAACTTAAGGAAGAATACTGTTCAAGCAAGGATCCGAGAAATTATTTTGTGAAAGACAAATTTCAATTTAGTAAAATTATGGGGGTTTGGGGTGTGGTAGAAACAACTTTTCTTATTCAGCAATGCTTAAAGGAGACTGAGGACATGAACATAAATACAGACAGATAACACTTAGTACCACCAAGCCAAGATCTCCAGACTACAAAGCTATAGTCTTTGAAGACATTAATGTTCACAGCATCCAAAGAGATAGCATTAAGAATCGTTATGAAAGGGAGAAAATTAAACAAATCATGATGATAACTAATAAAACCATGATTTTAGACAACCCAGTGAATTTCTGTCAACTCTCCTGAAAGCAGGATAGAGACAAATTCAGAATAACAAGGATGGTCCTGGCCAACAGGACCACCGAGAGATCATCTGTCATGATGCTGAAGTATCTTCAACCCCAGGAAGTTCCTACAGCACAGACTGCTAGGAGGAAGGCAGTGACATTAAGGTGCCTGTCCAATTGCTCAGGCAGAAAGATCTGAATAATCCATTACCACCAATGGGTGTATTCCTGCTCTCCCTTCCAGCCTCCAGTTCTTGGCTACAGTCCCCCTTCTGTGGATCAGCACACATCAGATCCCCTCTAAGCCTATGCAATTCACCCAAATAACACAGAACGAACTCCAGAATAAAAGTAGTAAGTTTTGGTGAGGTAAGTACTAATAAGCGCCAAAACTGGGACAAGGGAGGAGATGAGACAGTGTAAATAAGAGCTTTGGGGAAGGAAGGATGAGAGGAAAGAGAAGTCTCATCCTCCCATTTTTGGTGGTTGTGGAATTGCAAAAAAAATTTCCCTTTTTCCACAACATTTGTCACTATTATCAGTCAGAAAGAACACTAGACTATAGATACCTTCAGTGAGCCAGTGCAGGGCCGTTCTTTTACAGGATTTCCCTATGTTTCCAGGTCAGAGAGCTCTTAACTACACAGCAGAAGTATTTTCTAAGATCGAATACTGAAGTTAATAACTGCAAAGCTTAACTTCCTTTTTCAGACAAGCATTGCCTCCTATCAAAACAGTCTTCCATTTTACTTAAGTTTTATTGGAATCACAAAAGGAAGAGCATAACATTAAGTTGCAGAAGAAAGGATGACTTTTTAAAGTACCTATATTGCCTGCAGAGGACAGACGGGATCGGTCAAAAGGGCAGAGCTGCCAAGTCACTGACCTCTTTTCGTAAGACCCACAGCAGCAAAGAAAAATTTTAAAAGGTCAGCTCAACTACAGACAGCCTCAAGAAATTCTGGCAAAAAGAGAAGAGCTAACTTGAAGCACTATGTGAGCATAACAAATCTCAAAATAGATCTGTTATGGCCATGAAGTAATACCCTCTCCCACTTTCTGCATAAAACCCAGGTTTTTTTTCTACATGGGCACTAGATCTTCTTCAAAAGCTACTTCCTCAGAGGGATGTCCTCAGAAACAGCACCATTGAGTCAACTGCGTGGGTGGGATGGTAGAATTCAGCCCTACTAGAAAAAGGTGTTTTGATTCACAACTTAACGATTAAGATTAATAAACCCCTAAACAGCAGTTTTCAGGCACTAAGTGAATGAAAAAGGAAATTTGTTTTACCAAAAACTCCTTTGCAGGTACCCAATGATTCTACCAAAGAATCCTTGGGTTTCTGCTCATTTATAAGGTGAATTCCATTCAAAAACTACCACCACAGAATCCGTTACAAAATCCAAACAAATGTGACCTCCCCCTTTTCTTTTCATCAGTGATGAGAAAAAAAAAAAAATCTCCACAGTAAAAAGTCCCATCCCATCACATAATAGTTTTAATACTGAATAGTTGAATGCCAGTTCTGTAAGTTTGGGGAAAAATTCTCAGAGTTGAACACCTTCCTCAGGCTACTGAAATTAGAATGAACAGACAGAGCAAAAACAAAGCAGCACTGCTAATGAGTGTAGAGGTTTCTGGTCTCAAGAGGAGAGTAAAATTTGGGTCTCAAATTACCAAGGATTTCTGGTTACCTCCTTCAAAGGAATCATTCTTATCAACTTATCTGGGCAGAGAAACAATAGCCACATTTTTATGAGAAGCAATCACCGGATTTACAAAGGCAGCTCTCCCACGTCTCTGTGAGAAAAGCTTTTGGGGGTGATTTTGAGCCTTGCAGTCAGTGGCTAAGAGCTCAGAAAGCAACTGGAACACTTGCAGCAATACAGATCAGCTTCCTGTGAAGACAAAGCAACTTCTTGACCTCTGTCTCTTGATTCATTAACATCGAGTTATTTAAGTGCAGCAGGCGGTGTGCAGATTACTCAGGCCATGCAAAAAATTGAAAAATTAGGGAGACAAGAAGGGCAATCTTACTGATGCCACAAGCATATCACTCCTGAAGAGAGGCTGAGATCTAGAGGGAGACCTGCAAAATCAACTGCCGAAAACATCCTTCATTTTTAAAAATCAAGAAATGCAAAATTCAAGTTTTTCTTGTGCTATGCAAGTTATAGAAGTGATTAATTCAAGTAAATCATCTTTTTAGCCTGAGACACAAAACCACCATATTGACTAACTTTCTACATTAAAAAGTAAAAAAATCAGCATGAATAACAGTCAGAGATCCAAAAAACCAAAAATAAGCCTTGTCTTACCACAGAAAGAAAATGATTGACAAACAAACAACAATATAATCAATGACTGACATAGGCTCCAACACTTAGGCCTACAGCAATAATGCAAAGGTTTGCATTTTAATTTTCCAAAGAGAAGAGGACACATTTCTGTCTACCTCTGTTTTGCTTTACTCAATATGGATCTCCAATAAAAATACAGTGAACACCGAGTCTTCATCCAAAAAGAAATGAGTGACAGTTTAGGTAAACTTAATTTCTCACCATTTCAAATAAAGATTTAAATCTAAGTGTGACCTTGATGAGTTGATCATTAGACTGACAAGCCTGCATCATTCACTCTGTCAGATGAACTTCTGCTGCAGATGGGTAGAGGCATGCTTTCAGCACAGCTTATTCAAATTAGTGTTAATTATTGATTAGAATAAACTCAGCTTGTTCCAGTTTTCTCCCATAAAAAAGAACACGCATGTTAGTAAAACTACTTTTGAACAGGCCAGATTCTGTTTCAGAGAATATTTCTACAAGATAGCTTCTAGTTTAAGTTCTCTAAATTCAGTGGAACATTTCCCCTGTTTCCTTACACAAGTCACCAGCACTTCCGATGTTCCCCAAATTGTGTTTTTACTGAAAAGTTTCATCTCTGATTAAGCAATGCAGAGACATCAAAATCCCAAATGAATATCTGTTGTTGCTGCATCCCAGCCCAGTTGTTTTTCTGTGTTGTGCACTGCTTCAAAGAGTTCTCCCTGTCATACATTAAATAAGAATATTAAAGTAGCAGCAAATTATTGGTATAGTACAGCTACAGATAGGCACTGATAAATTGCTCCATGTGTTTCAGATATTAAGCGTACTGTAACAGGAATGTAGTCTTGTCAGTTGTACATTCTTTTTTACACATCTGTGTGCTCCTCAGATTTAAATTAAAAGCAATATATGAAATTTACTTAGAATAAAAACATTAACTATAAAACATTAAAATCCATGACTGGCTTAGGAGGAGGAAGAGGCAGGGAAAGCCCTTTAAAAAAAAAAAAAGGAAGTACACATTCTTTACAAAGATTCCTTGCAGACAGAAACAAAACCAGAGAAAGAAGTAGCCACAGCATGTGCAGTCCATGCAAAAGCAATCTTAATCATTAAATCAACTCCACTGCACTGAATATGTTTAGCTAGGAGTGTCAGCATGCAGGGGAGGGAAGGAAAGAAAAGAGTTTGAAGAAGAAAAAAACTTCAAACCAAACCAAAATCTTGAATTAGTGACACTCTACCTCAGTGATTGGTTGCCCTTGTGATGTCAAGTCTAGTTCCTGAGGTCTTGTCACCTTATCAATATCCAAGGAGTCCATGCTGGAAGCTGCAGAGGTTATGCTGGAACGGGAGGAGTTACTGATTGAGCGCACCTCAGCATCACTCACTGTGCCAGCAGATGCTGTCCTCCTGTGCTGAGCAGTAACTACTGGTTTGGTGTCTTCTGCAACAGACTGTTGGGCTGCCTCATCCATGCTCAAAGAGGCCTTCTCTAACTGTGCAGTGATGTCATCCAAAGATACGTTGGCATGCGATGGTTTAGTCACCTTACCAGATGAGGAGGATAATCCTTTCATGCTGCTGTGCTTAGAAGGTCGGCTAGCAGGTGGTTTTTGAGCTTTGGATTCTGTGGCAAGGCGTTTCACTGCAGCATTGTTTGCTGAATGAGATCCAATGCTGCTGAGCTCCTGCTCTATGGAACAGAGATCAGCCATGAGGGCATCTAGATCCACAGTCTCCCCCTGATTCAGGGCTTCTGCAACAAACAAGAGTTTTCAGTACATGCAGAGTTACTTAATTTTTCTGTGCAACTCTTCACTCTGTGTTATCAAATTTAACAGTTAGGGTAGGGGAGCAAAGGAAGCTGTATTTTCTTTTCCTATCTCTATGGCAAAATCTCTGCTCACTGCTAAGCAGAAATTTATTTGCACTACTACTCTTGACCAGTCTAAGAGCAATTAAAAAAAACAAAACTATTTAGGTCAAATACATTTGCCAACAGAAGAAATCTATGAATGTTCAGAGTACATATGAAAAGTTCAAACTGCTGTCCTATGAACAGAATCTGAAAATACATTTTTATAATATCATGCCTCAATTTTTCAAAAAAGTGTAGGTGTTTTGCTAAGCATTTTCTGCTAAAGCAATGCAAGGTATGTGACACTACTTTAAAAAAACCCCACAAAATACTATACAACCAGGGGAAGCTATTTTAAGATAAGGAAAAACATGATTTTTGTTTAACATAAAAGCACTCTCTAGCTATATTCCTGCATCCTGTCCCATGAAGCAAGATGCTCTCTCTTCCCATTTTAACAGATGCACATCAATTCATTCTTTTGCGAGACTAGATCCCAGAACATGTATTTCTGTACAAACACTAGACTACAATTCTTAGATATTAGGTGCTGTAAAAGATAGTGCTTTAGGATACTCAAAATTCTTTACAATCAGAAAGTAATGCCTTCAACAAACATGTTCCCACTTCAGCTAGAAGTATATTTAAATGCTCTCGTATTTTACAATGTTCTCATTTATAGCTGGAATGGGTTTTTTTCCTAAACTAATATTTGAAGGGGTAAATAATTCAACAAACCATTCAAATTGTACATGGAGAAGCGATATGAGAAGTTGGCAAGATTGGTTTCCTGACGGAGAGGTGATCTCTTCACTGGTGCCACAGGCTTGTCTGTATCCAAACTCTGAAAAAGACAAAAAAGGGCAGAATAAAGTTTGACAAGGAACTGGACAAACAAATCTTCAAGATGAATGAAAATTAGTTTTCTCTAAAAGAAATTTTTCAAAAACTCCTGGCATATGAAAAAAAATACATCTTTTTCAGGATTTAGACTTCAGGCTTTTTTTTAATCTAAGCATGTTCAAACTGTGGCACCATCTCTGAGAAATGGAACATTAGCTTATGAGCATAATCATGGCAGAAGAACACAAAAGAATTCAATGAAGAGTTCTATTTTATTAAAAAGGATTTTAAATTGGTTAAATTCAGACATTTTTCTCAATAAGCCTTTCCTGTGAAAAATGTAAAATTGTGAAGGCAAACCCCAGACAGTTTATGTAGGATAAATTTTTTTAGAAAAACTAACATAGGTTAAAAAAAAATAAAAATCTTTCTACCCAAAACATTGACTTGTTATCTTATGAAGGCTAATATGGGCATAATATTGTAACAAATACCAGCATTTTTGTAAGTAGCAAGCAGCAGGGCACTACGATCCAGCTGGTGACCCAAAAGGTGCATGACAGGGTCCAGGGTTGCTGCCCCCGGAGTAACAAGTGTTATACGGGGAATCTAGCTCTTGCTGTTGCTGAGGCTCGACAGGCCTGCAGAGGGTCTGAATTTAAGCAATGCTTGTGCTGATGAAGCTTTCCTGAAGGTATACTTGTCTGAAAGAAAACCATCTTCTAGCTCCAACAGAACAAAGCTTCTCACCGAAGCTTTTTATTTTCATGTTCTACACCTATGTTAAAAATCAAATGCACTTTTTTTTTTCCCCTAATATTTATTTTTTCTGAACTCCCTTTTCCCCTCAGTCTGGTTTGAACTTCAAAAAAAAAAAAAAAAATCACTTTATTAGGAAGTCAGTCATCACTTAATGAGAAGACAGTGATGCAGCCTTGTCTTCCACCACGTGGAAAAAACCCTCACCTCTAGTATCTCTGATGGAGCTTACATTGTCCCACACAGAATAGCTGGAAAACAAAACAAAATAAAACATCTATGTATAACCCTAGAGGCAGGAGTGAAACTGGACACAGAAAAGGTAAGTTAGGGCTCATTCCTTCAGACTGAACCCATAGACTGCCACAAAAGATTTCTGTAAAGCAAATATATTCTGGTTAAAAGCATCTAAAATGTGTTTTACTTAATTTAATAATAATTGTTTCACTTCCTTGGAAACACATGTGATATGCTCTCACTATTATCAGAGCACATTCTCCATAACATATTATTATGCTAAACTAGCAGTTTGGAGAACTGCTGAAAACCGCAGCAGCACCAAAAGCTTAGTTTTGAATGATCACAAGAAGCAAGGTAAGACTTCCTTCATTTAATCTGCATCATAGAGTAGCATAACTAGACCTGGATAAACGCTAATGCACTCTGCATCAGTGCCAAACACTGCTCACACGTGCTGCAAGTTTTGTGACTACATTTTATAATGTTTGTATTAGACCAACAGTTAAAGACAGCAAAGTGAATTCAAATGATCTCATGGGCATCTTAATAATTACGAATATTTTAAAAAGCACTTCCATCTGGAAAGGAATCTGGGTCTTTCTTACAATCCCCCCCCAAATAAACATTTGGGAAATCTGAAAAGTGCAAGGAACTCAGAGGCAAAAAAACCCTTTCCTCCTACTGGTCTTAGAGTCCAGCTGATAAATAGCAACAAGTGCTGAGACTACAGGAGAATGCACTTTGGAGCTCATTAGCTCTAATCACCCTCTTTTATTGGGACTTTACTGGGACAGCTGCATCAAGGCACAATCACTTTCCAAACAAAGGAACTGAGACCCAGCTAACTGCAGTAACTTGTTTATACAAAACCATATGAGGTCATTCAAAGTTTTTGGAGAAATGTCATTTCTCAGTAGTCACAAAAGACAGAAGGGCAACTGTCAGGTTGTGTTGCAGACTGTATTTTACAGCAATATGAAAGTGAGAAACAATGTGGGTCCTCCCCTTAACTATCTTACTATGTTTTAAGAATTTTGCATGGATCAGCACACAAACTGAGACATCACCATAAAGTCTGTATGTGAATAGCGTAGCTGTAAACCCCAAGTAAAGTATGCTTATATTTCTAAGCTGTTCATACCTGAAAAAAATGGGGCAGAGAACCAAAGGTCTAAGACCAATTACCCATTGTGCTCTTCTGTGATGATCTTCATTCGGAGTAATTTACAGAGCCCATGCCTTCAAAACACCTTCCACTTACCGTTAAAAATTCTTCACAGGAAGTTAAAAAAAAACAAAACAAAAAACAAACAAGAATTACAACACACAGATTTATTTCACACTGTCTTCCATTCATCTCAAAAGGCAGGATTCTTTATTGCCCTGCATGCACAAGTTAAGAAAAAAAAATAATCATTGTCCCCCAGAGTGCTATCTATATTTAGATCTTGCAGGCAGAGATTTAACCAGAAGGTAACAGAGATGAGCCTGAATTTGAAATGCCGTCACATGATTAGCTCAATTTTGCTTTAGTCTTTGGGTAAGATGAAGATGAGAAAAGCTGCCTCCTCTCTGGCTTACTGAAATCTGAGGTACCATGTCTTTCCTTAAGTTTACGTGACAAAGAGGGAGAAGATGAAATATGTTATTCAGGAGGGTCAGCTCACACAGCTGAAAAAAAACCCAGCAGGCAGTCACAGAGAAACGGCCTATCACCCCAGGAGTCTGGAGTACCATGCAAAATGCAAGACCTGCTTGTGAAGGAACAGGAAAGGACTAGAAAGAAGGCAGCGCCAAAAGAAGACGTCCCATCAGCTGCCTCTCTGATGCAGGAAGAGCACTCTGGAATAACGGTGAGTCCTCTAGGTTGCATCAGGGCACCTTATCACGTCATCAGTGGCAGCATTCACAATTTCTCATTCCTCATTGCTGTTCAGGTGCAACAAATGCGTGCTGTCATAGCTGGACAATGTCCAACCATACGTTTGGAGATACAGCCTACCTCTAGCCAGCTAAAGTCAGTGTTTCTCTATATAGATGAGGACAAAATACCAATTCCATAGCTGTCAGAAGGAATCATAGCCTTTGGGAAAGGTCAAACTAGCAGGTTGTGAAAAGTGAATTTAACAACTTTGAGATGGGTAAACAAGCAGATTTAGAAACCTTTAAAGAGCACTGAGCTGGTCAGTCTACCTTGCTGCAAGTGGCAGTGCTAAGTATTCAGCATCCAACTGAAAAGAAACATGTAATACTTATAAAGAATTACTCTGTGAGATGATTGAAGTCTCCCTAACCTGTGTGAGTTTGTCCAGTTCCCCCAGCCAGGCCCCAAACATCTTGTCCAGATCCTGATCTTCCTTATCACTATCTTCTTCCGCACCATGGTCAAGTTCTTCATCTGATAATTGCTCCATCTGAAAAAAAATTAAAGTCTGATACTCAAATTGTACAGTGTCTAAGAAAACTGGTGTCAGCTACTAAGTTTCTGAAAAAGCGTTCTGAAGTCAAAGCACACATCTGTCCACAAGTTTTATAAAAATTGCATACATTCACAGTTTATTATCCTGCTCAAAAGTAAAGAGTTTGTAATTATCCATTGCGGCTTTCACACTAAGCCATCCTTGCAGCTCACTTTTGTCAGAACAATGCAGAAAAAGATGAAGAACAGTCCACAATATTTAATACAGCATCAGAAATTATTTCATGCTAGCCTTGCACGTGCATTCATTGCCAGCTATTGTTGGCAAAATCTATTGACTTTACATTACAAAAATTCAACTCTTGTCCAAGGAATTCAGCTGACCACAGTTAAGCAACACCATCCAACAACCCACAGGAAGTGCAGTCTCACTGCACTGCAAATAGCTGCCCCTACACATTCGTAAACAGAAATGCTTAAATAGGCCACAGAGAATGCCAGCAATACATCCCATGAGACAGTTTAAATCTTGGACACTGTCCAGATCACTTCAGTGATACTGCACAATTTTTACCCAACAAAGAAACTCCTTCCTGGAAGCAAAGAGTCGCCATTACAGCTATCAGGCCCTCCTTCATTCAACAAATTTGAGTGACCAAGATAAAGACTTCACATTCTCCAAAGGTTATCTGTTATCACTTCAAAGTAAATTAATCTTTTGTTAAACGGGCCTTTTCCCCAAACACATCCTCCAAGCTGCTAAGACACACATACTCTAGGCAAAGCCACCTCAGTATCCTACTGAGATTTTACTTTTGTGGGAGAGCACAACGCAGCTAGCTTACCTTAAAAGGGGCAATAATATTAAAGCTAACCTGGCATGGCATACTGCACCAAGCAAACACTGAGCAGATTAAATTCACCACCTGAATCTCATTTCTTCCAACACTTGTTTTGAGTTCTGTTAAGTACTTCTAGCACTCCAGAGAAGAGAAAAAAGCTTTTCCTAAAATCTAAGAGTGGTGCTGAAATCCAAAAAATGCCAATATGTTCATGTAAAAGACTGCACTAATTTTTATGTTCTGTAAGTCAGGCATGCCTCCCCCTGCTAGATTCCTCTCCATGATGTCACCTGAAAGCCCTCCCACATAACAGCAGGGTAGCAGCAACTCATACTCTGCCTGAACTTCTGCAAAACAAACAGAAGATGGATTCCACTTTCACGTCCCTTCAAAGCTTTGCTTTACTACTCCTTAGGCCTTTACATGGACCAGAAATATTGAAAATTCAAGACAAAATAAATTATACTTAAGGTGACATGGTCAAACTGCTGTAACAGTATTTGCATTCGACAACGTAGCATTTCTCAATGTCTAGACACACTTGAAATAAATAATTTTTATTTGAAGGCTAAGGGAAGCTATTAAAAGCGTGCCTTAGGAAATATGACTGTGGACTGGCAAATCAAATAAATGGAAACTGTGATATGAAACAGACAGAGCTCGCTATTTACAGATACTTTACACTGCTAACCTTTCCCTCTTTGAGCTGTTTTTACCACTTACTCTACAGTTAGATGGGACTTGTTTTGCAGTGCGTTCATTCTACGGCACTGTTCATAACTCACCCTTTCAGTAAGAGACGAGCTTGTTCTTTTTACTAATATTTCTGAGGACCTAAGCTGTGGAAAGAAAACAGTATTCTCAATTTCCCATAAACTGTTGCTTTAGCTATTTTAACTTGGCATCAGAGACAGTGCTTTAGTTCCAGTTACTCCGAAGACAGAATTAGCAGCCTAAAGAAAACTTTTACAAGCAAAGTACTGTTGTGTCAGCAAGTCTGGCGCTAAGCCCTGTACTGTTTGCCAGCTCCTTGCAGTCCCCACCCAAGCTTCCTAACGTCAGCTGCATTTCCTATGAGCCTGTCAACGTTTGCTTGCAAAAGACACACAGAGGATAGTGTCTCACTGAAGAAACAGCTCATATCAACTTGCTCGTTCTGTAAGAGCGATCTCTCTTAGCACAAGCTCCACTACTGGAAGGAGATATCCCACAGGACATTAATTAAAGGATTAATTCAATAAATTAAGGCAGAGACAAAATGCTCAAGTAACAGTATCTGAACTTTTTGACATAAGAACTCAAAACAGTAACAACTCAAAAAGAGTACACGTTCCAACTAAAAAGTTTGAAATTTTCCTTTTTATAGCCATTTTCTTTCTCACTGTTGTTGATTACAGCAAACATGCACCATACTTTAGCAAATCGTGACCTAACTGGGAATTATCACAGCTTTCTAAGGATATGACATTTTTATTTATAACAAGAAAGAAAAATCGAATAAGTTTAAGAGTTTGGGGGTGGGGGGGTTTATGTATATGTGTGGGTTTTGTTTGGTTTTGGTTTTTTGTTGTTGTTTGTTTGTTTTTTAAAGAGGCATTTAGAACTAAATTAGATCTAAGAAATGGAAAAGGAATAACTGTTCTAGCGTGACACCATGAAGTAAGCCACTTACATTCCTAAAGCATTTGCAGGGTAGCAGAGTTTAAGTAGCTGTTGCTTCTGCTTAGCTCATACCAGGTGAAATGCCAAAGTAATTACAGGATTCAAGTTATTTTTCAACACTTCACCTTCTATTCTGCCCAAGTGTATGTCAGAATAGAACTTAATGAAAATGAGCAGCATCACTCTGGGATATCTAGATAAAATAAGATACCAATATGGTATACTCTTCCATATGCAAGTAAGGCTTCCTGCACTAAACCGAGGTCTATGTGCTATTTCATTATCCACTATGGACTGCATCGGTCAACTTTATCTGTTTGAAATGCTATTTAAACAGGCAGATTCATAATGGCTGTAAGTCAACTGTAGTTTCCAAAACAGTTCATTAGGTTTGTTCACCTTTAAATGCATGAAGCACAGTATTTTAATATTATTTTATGAAACATTACTGAGGTTTTCATTAGAAGTCACCAGTTGCAACATTTAATCATAAACTACTATTTTAATTACACTATAAGAAAAACAAAATGACAACTTAACAATAATTCAGAAAAAAAGAAACATTTACTCTTTCAAGCTGATTCTTATGCTAGCCATTGTAGCTTTTAGTATGCCAGGACAAGCATGAGATGATGTGATACCACAACACATGAGGAAAGATGAAACCCCCAAGAATAATGCTTTGCATATACCATTTTGATATTTTCAAGAAAAGACACCATTGCAAAATTCTGAAACTAAAAAATTGCTCTGATCAGAAAGCAACAGCTTTGGGACAGAGGTAAGTTATAATCAAAAGCGTAAAGTGTCTTTCAGTGAGACCCCATTCTGCAAACTTGCACTTTGACATGGTAGCTTCTACCTTAAATCAACCCAGTCCAAGACAACAGGAAACTTTGTAATATTAAAAATATTTGCTTATAATGAAAACACTCTGCACTGAAAAAAGTAGCTGTAACACAAACAGACTGCAGGATTTCTCTACACCACACTCAATTAAAGATGGAAAGATTATCAAAGAAACAAAAATAGAATTCTTACTCCCAACTGGAAACACCAATGTGCTTAAAGGGTAAGCAACAAGAATGTGTTTATTCACTGTAAGTTCCAAAGCACTGTAATAAGCATTTTGAACTACAGATGCTTAAGAATGTTCAAAGGCAACTGAGAGCATAAAATCCCAAAATGAAAACAAACCATCTTTCTTTCAGGCAACTGATGTTTTCTCCCCTGACCTTTCTTACTATTTAAACACAAGCTTGTACAAGCTCATGCTTGCTACTGAACTCGGGATTGTCTTCCTAAAAACTACTACAGAATTTGTTACAAATCTATTATAGGGATGCAGTAGACACTACACAAACATTCAAAACACCATCTGAACAAGTTAACTGGGTTTCTGCATTTTAAAATCTAGCCTCAGGAACCAAAAGGAACTATATAGCATACTCTGGTATGAAAAACATACTCCGTTTGGAGCTGGTGTGGAAATCAGAGTTGTTCTTCCATTTGTGATCACCCATGTTATCATGCCAGTATCTATTTCTGTTTAGGGAGTTGGATGTGACAGAACACTACAGTAGCATACATACCATACGAGCACAGAAGCATAGTGTGCACACAAACACAAAAGTAAGATTCTAGCAGGGATTCACCTCTAATACTCAATTCACCTGACTGCTTAAAGAAACACGGTTATTTACACAGAAAAAAAAATTGAAATGCTTTCACAAAAGTGACAGCCAAAGCTCACATCCACGTTTCTACACATTTTCTTGAAGTTCTGGTAAATAATGAAAGGTAATTTGAGCACATAAATTATCTGTTTCATATTAATACTCTGTCCATATGACAGGGACCAATGAAATCCAGCGTGTTTTTCAGTAAAAAATAAGAAAGTCTAATGCTATAACTGACACTAACATTTCTCCTTTGAATTTAATACTGTAGCACCCTAAGCCAATGATACAGTGCAGATCATTTGCTTAAGTATTTCCATGTTTCTTCTTAATAAGCATAAAATATTCTGAAATTAACTACTCCTGAAAAAGACATTTGGAGGAAGATTAGAGAGATTAGAAAGTTATGGGAAATTCCTTGTCAATTATCCAATGTCCTATAACCCAGTTTATGTTAAGAGTAATCTAGATGAAAACCTGAACAAAAGAGCATTTGTTTTCTTTTAGCTTCAAATAGCATAGGTACTAGCTGAACACATCCCAAGGCTCCTGCAGCACACAGACATTCCAACACGTCTCACATTCAAAAACTGAGATACAAATCTGTCAGCCAAAAAAATCAAATTTGAAACATTCCAAATAATACTAAAAAATAATCTTATGTCAAGTGAAAGTCTCTTTCAATATACTATTTTGAGCCAACTTTTGAGTTTTGTTTTTCTTTTTTTTTAAACCACGCTTCAGGCAATAGTTTTCTAGGTTTGCAGTCACACACCAGAGTGAAAACACATTGAACGTCAGATAAAACATAA